AAAAAATCACATTTTAAATATTCAGCACAAATATTTTCAAGCCTTCAAATTCAAGAGTCAAAATTCAGAGTGTAAAATTCACAGTGAAGAAAATTCACAGTAAAGATCCAAGATGCCGAGGCAGAAGCAATCGATCCAAAATGAACCGATCTGACTCAGTAAGAAACAGGAAATGTTGCAGTGACGCGATCTGATTGGTCAAAACCAGCCTCATCGAAACCTCATCTCTATGATTGGTTAAGTGTAACAAATCAAAGAGACTGATTTAGACCTGGTTTAGACCTGGTTTAGTCCTGGTTTAGACTTTGTTTAGTCCATGTTTAGTCCTGGTTTAGACCTGGTTTAGTCCTGGTTTAGACTTTGTTTAGTCCTGGTTTAGACCTGGTTTAGACCTGGTTTAGTCCTGGTTTAGACCTGGTTTAGTCCTGGTTTAGACCTCTGGTTTAGTCCTGGTTTAGACCTCTTTTAGTCCTGGTTTAGACCTGGTTTAGTCCTGGTTTAGACCTGGTTTATACTTTGTTTAGTCCTGGTTTCATCCTGGTTTAGACCTGGTTTAGACCTGGTTTAGTCCTGGTTTAGTCCTGGTTTAGACCTGTGTTTGGACCTGGTTTAGACCTGGTTTAATCCTAGTTTAGACCTTTTTAGTCAAAATCAAGCTTGTATTTCTGTCTGTCGGGAACGCCGCCGGAGCTCGTGCGTCGGGAGCTCGTGTGGTGAAACGTCAGACGGCGTTCAGCGTTCGGCGTTCGGCGTTCGGCGTTCGGCGTTCGGCGTTCGGCGTTCAGCGTTGGCCGTGTGGTGCGGCGGTTTGGACGCGCTTAAGTCAGATTCAGAGGAAACGGCTGAAGCTTCGAACACAATAAAGTGCGTGTGTGTGAACTCAGGTCACTGTACAACTTCCTCTGAGACGCACAAACAACCGGACGCAACGTTACAACAAGCCAGGAGGGACAAAAGAGCGGAACGAACCAGGAAGTACAGCAGGAAGGCAGGGAGGAAGCAGGAAGTAAACACGGGAAGTGGAGGAAAACTCACCGAAACAGAACTCGGCTTTCGGGCGCAGTTTGGTGGCATCACTCACCTGAAAAAGAAATAAGACATGATGTGTTTGTGTCTCTGTAGTTTGACCTCTGACCCCCCGGATCATTCTGTTATCATTTAGACATTTTAAATAGTCCTGGTTTAGATCTTTTTTAGTCCTGGTTTAGTCCTGGTTTAGACCTGGTTTAATCCTGGTTTAGACCTGGTTTAGTCCTGGTTTAGACCTGGTTTAGACCTGGTTTAATCCTGGTTTAGACCTGGTTTAGTCCTGGTTTAGAACTGGTTTAGACATGGTTTAATCCTGGTTTAGACCTGGTTTAGTCCTGGTTTAGACCTGGTTTAGACCTGGTTTAGTCCTGGTTTAGACCTGGTTTAATCCTGGTTTAGACCTGGTTTAGACCTTGTTGTTTTTACTGATTAAAAATCATGCATTATAAACATGAGCGGCCCTCTTCTCCACAGATCCGACCTGTAATTTGTCATTTCTGCCTGTCTCCATGGAGATAATTAAATTAAACATCATTCCAGGAAACAACAATAGGGTGTGGACCATCTACCAAAAAAGTTACGCAATGAACTTTTAAGAAAATCAAACTGTAGAGGGAAGTGTGTGTCACGGGGGCGTGTCCTGGGGGCGTGTCCCGGGGGCGTGTCCCTGCGGACGACCACGAAGTACTTCCTCTGTTTTTTTAAGAGTAAAATTTCAGTCAAGTCGTTTGAACAGTGAAATAGTTTTGCTGCGTTCAGACGCGGCGTCAAAAAGCCTCTAGTTGGAGTCTTTGTATTTGCGTCTCTGACGTGTTTCTTTGTCATATTGACGCGTCCAGAGCGTCGCTGTAGTCGCCGAGAGCCTTGTTTTTTACTTTAGTGTATTTATCACATAAAACCATCAGTGGAGGCGATCGTCTCGACGACTGCAGCGTGTTTATATTCATCCTCCACTCATGACTCGTGTAGATTTCTTGTTCTGGTGTTTGTGGCTCCCGGGTTTTTCTCTTCCTTCTTCTGTCGCTTCGTCTCTGGATACTCGTTCTGGATTGGTTGACGCTGCGTGTCCAACACCAAAAGTTCAGTTTTTTCAACTTGACACTGACGCATTGGCCTGAACACCTGAACACTCAAGACGAGCTGCATCGATGTCAGATTCTCTCCGCGCTGACGCCTGACGATGTGCCACAAAAACACAGGACGCCCCAGACGCACGTCCACACAGATCCTGCTCCGAAACTGGACGCCGTGACGCCGCCGTCTGAACGCAGCTTGATGTGTTCGATGTGATGATGATGATGATGATTAGGTCAGTTTTCGTATGATGAGGTCATGCTAAGAGTGACCTTCAGTGACCTTGAGTGACCGTGAGTGACCTTCAGACTCAGACTGACCATGGAGATGTAGGAGAGGTTCAGGGCTCCCACAGGCTCCGCTCCAACAGGAAGATTCTGAAACACAAAAAACAGAACAAACGATCATTTCAGAAACTTTAAAAGGTTTAACTAGAGTCACTAAAAATGAACGAACGAACAACGAAAGAAACGAGAGAAGAAGGTTTAGAGAAAAGATCTGGGTTTTTCAGGAATTATGATTCATACCACAGAACTGGAAGTAGTAACACTGGTAGTAGTATTTAGTAGTAGTAGTAGTAAAAGTATTAGTACCTGTGGATTATTCATGTACTAAAGCAATGGCTGCAGTTGTAGTTGTAGTAGTAGTAGTGGTCAGTGTTGGGAGGTCACTTTTAAAATGTAATCCCCTACAGATTACAGATTACACACACCAAAATGTAGTTTGTAACATAATCCATTAAATTACTTAAAGTGAGTAATGTAATCTGATTACTTTAGATTACTTGATTTGCTGTAAAGAAGCGAAGACGAGGAAATCTTTGGTTTGTTTGATAAAAGAAAATAAAAAGTCCAGTCTTTACTTAACCAGATAAAAAATATTATTGATAGAAAACGAAGAAACACGTCCACACAGCAGGATTTAGTCCTGTTCAATCCTGGTTTAGTCCTGGTTTAGTCCTGGTTTAGTCCTGGTTTAGACCTGGTTTAGTCCTGGTTTAGACCTGGTTTAGTCCTGGTTTAATCCTGGTTTAGTCCTGGTTTACCTGGTTTAGTCTGGTTTAGTCTGGTTTAGACCTGGTTTAGTCCTGGTTTAGTCCTGGTTTAGACCTGGTTTAGTCCTGGTTTAGACCTGGTTTAGTCCTGGTTTAGTTGGTTTAGTCCTGGTTTAGACCTGGTTTGTCCTGGTTAGTCCTGGTTTAGACCTGGTTTAGTCCTGTTTAGTTGGTTTAGACCTGGTTTAGTCCTGGTTTAGTCCTGGTTTAGACCTGGTTTAGTCCTGGTTTAGACCTGGTTTAGTCCTGGTTTAGTCCTGGTTTAGTTTTCGGCAATGGATGGAATTACGGGGAAAAAAAAGGGATCCAGCCCAAAATGTATTCAAAAGTATTAGTACCTGGGGGTTGTCCATGTACCAGAGCAGTTTTCCCTGCGCTGGGTCCAGGAGGAAGTATCTCCTGTAGAAGCGTCCGCTCTGCTCCTGCTCCTCCACGTCCAGGAAACCACAGATCCTGTTCAGACGATCCACGTACGGCATCTTCACACCCAGGAACGAGACCAGAGAGGAGAGAAGAACCAGGACCAGGACCAGGACCAGGACCAGGACCAGGAGAGGAAAAAAGTACCAGGAGAGGAGAGAAGGAGAGAGGAGAGAAGAGAAGATTAGAGAGAGACCAGGGAGGAGAGAGGAAAGGAGGAGAGACCCGGGAACCAGGAGAGGGAGGGGAGAGCAGGTCTGGTCCTAGTCCCTGGTCAGGTTCTGGTTGAGCCCGAAGAGGAGCAGATCCAGGAGAGAGACCGGAGAGGAAAAGATCCGCTCTGATCCTGGTTCTTGTTCAGGTTCTTGTTCTGGTTCTGGTCTGGTTCTGGTCTGGTTCTGGTCGAGCCCGGTGAGGAGAGACCCCGCCTGGGGCCCCACGCTGGAGAAACTGGGGAGAAGAAGGAGAAGTTAAAAAAGCAGCAGCAAAATGATGAAGATTTTAAACAATAAACTGTTGACGTGATGAGCTCAGTGTCGAACCCTCGAGTTTAAAGATCAAACCTCCTGAAGATTTACTCCTCTGAGCAAAACCTGAAAAACCCCTGAAAAACCCCCCAGAGCCGACGAGCGGGTGGGGGGGGGCAGGGGTGGGACGATGATTAACAGCTGAGCCTGCTTTAGTCCTGGTTTAGATCCTGTTTTAGTCCTGGTTTAGACCCGTTTTAGTCCTGGTTTAGATCCTGTTTTAGTCCTGGTTTAGACCCGTTTTAGTCCTGGTTTAGACCCGTTTTAGTCCTGGTTTAGATCCTGTTTTAGTCCTGTTTTAGTCCTGGTTTAGACCCGTTTTAGTCCTGGTTTAGACCCGTTTTAGTCCTGGTTTAGACCTGTTTTAGTCCTGGTTTAGACCCGTTTTAGTCCTGGTTTAGACCTGTTTTAGTCCTGGTTTAGTCTGGTTTAGACCCGTTTTAGTCCTGGTTTAGATCCTGTTTTAGTCCTGGTTTAGACCCGTTTTAGTCCTGGTTTAGATCCTGTTTTAGTCCTGGTTTAGACCCGTTTTAGTCCTGGTTTAGACCTGTTTTAGTCCTGGTTTAGATCCTGTTTTAGTCCTGGTTTAGACCCAGTTTCAGTCCTGGTTTAGATCCTGTTTTAGTCCTGGTTTAGACCCAGTTTCAGTCCTGGTTTGGATCCTGTTTTAGTCCCGGTTTAGACCCATTTTCAGTCCTGGTTTGGATCCTGTTTTAGTCCTGGTTTCAGTCCCGGTTTAGACCCAGTTTAGACCCGGTTTCAGTCCTGGTTTAGACCTTGTTTCAGTCCCGGTTTAGACCTTGTTTCAGTCCTGGTTTAGACCTTGTTTCAGTCCCGGTTTAGACCTTGTTTCAGTCCCGGTTTAGACCTTGTTTCAGTTCCTGGTTTTAAATCAG